TTTGACACAACATTGTAAAATGACTATGTCAAAAAAAAAAGTTACGAAAAAAAATGCAACTCAAATGTATATGCTCAAAAATTTTCAGAACAATATCACGAATTCATCAAAAGCCCCAACAATAATGGCTAATTTTTATAGTCACACAACTATCTTTCAGAATACCCCCCTAAATTAAAAAGAAAACTGATAGGTAAACAGAAGAAACTAGTTGATAAGAAACTACTCAGTTTATAAAAGGTTCTCAGAAGGAGAGAGTAAAGCTGGGAGGAAAGATAATAGCACAGAAATCGAGAATAAAATGGGGCTTTGGTTTTGTGTGTTAGTTAGTTTCTATCTTTTTTTTCCACCAAAAGGTCATCTTAAACTATTATGATATCAGCTTGCTAATTTGGATGGATAAAACGCTGGCCCAGAGTTAAAAATCTACAAGAAGAAGCCACGAAGGGTTACAGTCCAAGGAGGAATTTCTGATCCCTGCTGACAGAAAGCCTTTGTGGGAAAATAGGTGAATATGTGCTCTTTTTCTCCAAATTAAAAAAAAAAGAAAAAGAAAGAAAAAAGCTTACCAAAATAATTAGGTACTTCAAACAAAACCAAAATATTTCAAAACCTTAATTTTTCTAGACATATAAAAGTAAAAGATCTTTAAAAGCTGCTTAAGAATCTGGCCAAGTCATTCTCAAGATGTTTTTAAGTTATGCCTATCCTCAAAAATCAATTCTTCAATTATCTGAAGAACCTACAGCTCTAAACAAATAACATGTCCTTTAAATGAAATGTAGGCCTTTTCTTCTTATTTAATTTTTGGCAGCAAAGAATCGTTGCCTGGGTCTTCCTTCTAAAAAATTTATGCACTTTAAAGGAACAATGAAATCACTATCTACTCTCCTTTTTCCAAGCCATACAATTCTAATTCCTTCATCCTTTTCTCACTCCTTCCACTCTCTATCCATCTGACTATTTTGGTTAAACATAAGGAAGAACTAGCTAACAGCAGAGCTGTCCAAAGATAAAAACTGCCTCTGAGGAAGTACTGTGTCTCACCTCACTGCAGAACATGATCCAAACTGTCACCTATCAGCAGTTTTGTAACAGGAATTCAAACATACGTTAACGATACTTTTTTTTCAACGTCACCAATATTGTAAAGGGAACTGAAACAACAGGTGGCAACTGAAACAACTCCTACCGACCCTAATTCTATGACACTGAGACTCCCTGCAGCTTCTCTAGTTTTGCTCTATTTCTCTTCAATTCTAACTCTCAATATTTCAACAGAAGTTATGAGTGTAGATTTACTAGGCACAGTTAATCTAGAAGCAAAGTGAACTTAATTCTCTGAAGACCTTAGAAAAAGCAGCAGAAGAACTACTCCTATATTTTTCCCCACAGGCAGGAGTACCTACTGTGCCACCACTGGAGAAGATACAGTCTTTAACTATTTAGAGCGTGGGAAAGCATTCCTTCTGCCGATTCATCATCCCTTTTACTGCTCTTTGGCCAGAGCTACAACACGACTTGATGGTTTTGTTTTTCAGTTAGCATGCATTTCCATGAAAAGGAATATAGCATGAAATAGAGTAGAGAAGAACAGGAAAAAGGATTTAAAAAAGTATCTGAATCTGACTGAGTGTTAAGTTCTCTGGTTCTCATCCTGGGCTTCAGTGAGACTTTCTAGACATGTTCAAGGTCAAGCTGTAAAACACAGACTTTCTTTCTATTTAAAATCTTTTCTAGGTATAAGAAGAATAAAAATGATAGCTAAACAGAAAAATTAAGTAAGATGGATTCTGATAGATTGATTACAGAAGAATCAACAGGTTAGGTAAGTGTACTGGATTGAACACTGACCACCCAAAGATATCAGGTCTCTTGTAAATGTTACTTTATAAGAAAAAGGGATCTTTGCAGATAGGATTAAATTATAGATTTTAACATGTGGAGATTATTCTAGATTACCTGGTAGGCCCTAGATCCAGTCACAACTATTCTTATAAAAGAGAAGCAGAGGGAGATTTGACACACACAGAGGAGAAGGTGGATACGAAGAGAAGACAGAGACTGTAGTTACGTGGCCACAGGCCCAAAGGCAGCAGAAGCTGGAAAAGGCAAGAAATGAATTCTCCCTCAAGCCTCCAGAGGGAGCAAGGCCCAAATGACACCTTGATTTCAGCCCAGTGATAATGACTTCAGACCTCAGGCTGCCTGAACTCTGAAAAAATCTATTTCTGTTGTTTTCAGCCACTAAGTTTGTGGTAACTTGTTACAGCAGCTTCAGGAAACTAATACAACACGTTATGTTTTGTGGACTAGATTCAACAGGTATGAGAACATTTTAAAATTATAGCTGCTTCCCTTAGAACAATTCATCATTCTTCAGTTTCACATTAAGTACGAGTACAATGTCTTTATTATGTTATTCCTACCCATCAAGTATAAGTTCTCAGGAGTGGTCACAGGAATATTAACAAGTTTAATATCATCCTCATCTGCTTTGTCCCAGGAGTTAGAATTGCCGCAAGCACAGCTATGACAAGAATTGACACTCTGGACCTAAAATTAAGACAGACAGAAGTTACTTCAAAATCTCTTCTGTGATAGTATTTTGTGATCTTTTATATTTATAAATTATTTATATAAATCTTATTTCTGGTTATAAAAGAACCCATGTAATTTTTACCTGAAGAAATAAATCTGATTATATTTAATCAAATTTAGGAGTCATAAGGCCCTTAAATATCCTGAATGCTTGTTTGCTCAAAAATACACAAGTAAAACAATAGTTTGAACATAAATTAGTTATTTTCCTCAAAAATCGAAGTTATTTTTATAGTTTACTGTTTCACTAAGTATTTACCTATAAACTTTATCTACATCTATTTTAATTTTAGGTAACTGGCTTATTTTCCTTTTAGAATTCATTACAATGCTGATTCTCTGTTAGATAATAACAAAAACTAAAAAGCCTCTATCATCTTCCCTTCTCTAGCAAGGTCCCCTGAGCTAATCATTTCAGTCAGCTCTATGCAAATGACTCCCAGATCTTGAAGTTCCATCCTATTTTGAAAGATATGCCCCCAAATTTCTATCTGCCTGTTTGATGACTCCTTTCTGCTGGCATCTCAAACTGACTATGTAGGAAAAAGAGCACTGTGTCTTCCCACAACAAAAGCTTCCTCCTCCCAAGTTCACTAACGGTACTTTCAGCTCAATGATTTCTCAAACTAGAGAAGTAGAAAACAGGAAGTCATCTTCAGCATCTCTTCCCACACTTCTCACATCCAGTTACCAAGTTTCGTGAATGAACCGTGTCTCCCCTTTTCCATTCCTGCTGTCATGACCCTCACTTAGGCACTCATTAAGAGGCGGAAATCTGGGTTCACAGCCCTGGCAGGAGAATGACCAGGTCAGCTGAGGCACCTACAATAAAGTGATTCGGCAGACTCCCTACTTCCACTATTATCATGAAATGCCCTTTCTCTACTTCTAGTCGAGGACAGCTTCAATTCTCAATTGAGAGAATTCAAAACTGAGGCACTCCTCTGACACAGAGGACGTCCAGATTATAGAATGAGTATGCACTTCATTATCCTGCTCAGTTTCACAGAGGAACTGAAAGTCTGCATGCATTTGATCTAGATGTTCCTAGAGTAAAACTATCAAGTTTTAAAGTAAACTTTAAAAATTTAGTATATTTTTAGGCATTTAAGAATGGGGCAGCTATATATTCCAACGAAATATAGAAGCAAGATATGGAGCAGAGTATGGTGTTCTACTAACTATTTTTAAACTGAGTACATATGAAGGTAGAGGCATACACTCCCTGAAAGCATACACATAAGAAACTGTCAAAGTTCATCTCTAAAGAGGGGAATTGAAAGATCAGGAGCACATTTTTCACTGTCCATTTTTTTGCTTCTTCTTTATTTAGTAGCAAGTGCACACCCTACCTATTTTTAAAAGCAATTTTTAAACTATATTAGATTTAAATAAATATTAACTTCATCCCTTACCTGTCAACCAACAGTATATTAATGGTCAAAAGAAAGAGGTAAAGAACTCCACAGTTGGCTTCAGCAAGCCAAACACTGTGATCTAAGCACGCTCAGCAAGTGACTGCTGGAAACTAGTAGAACGTCTGCCCGCATCTTCCAGCCTTTTGCAGAATATCTAGCTTTGAAGCAACACTTCCATACTAACGTCAGTCTCACAGGACCCCATGGGACCATATCACTTAACTCAAAAAACCTGGAACCAAACTGGCTGAATATTTAGCAAAAGGATAATTTTACTTTCCTGAGGAAAACAGGGTCAACCAGATTTCTTAAGGTTCTTAAAGAGCTATCTGTAATTGTATGACATTTAAACCAACAGATAATAATAGATATATAAATAAAGTTAAAAAGGAAAAAATTAGTCAAATTTTTTCTTTACTTACAGAGGCTAAACTCTGTGCAGAACCTGAGTATTTACTGAAGAGTCCTCCATTAGCATAGTTACAACACTGAGATCCTTTGTCTTTGGCAGAACTTAAAGATAATGTCAAATTCTGTCTGCTACTGGAACAACTTGAACCTAATGAAAACAAACATATTAATATTAAAAGTATCATTAACTCCAATGCCAAATTTCAGATAAAATTTCAAAGTTTATATATTCATTCAGAGGGCTGATTTCCCTCAAATGTGTAAATTATTAAATGTATACTATATTATTAAAATCTGTATCTCTGTATAATATTTTTAACAATGCTAAAATCTGCTTCTGAAATGAAGATTAAAACATTCGTCTAATTAATCAAGGCAGTATTTGAATGATCTATTGCAATTGTTATAAAAATATTGGCAACTATGAACATTCAAATACAAATTTAACAAAATGTAATCACTTCTTTCCTGAATTACATCTAAGCTTTTTTTTTCATCTAAACTTTATCAGCTTCACATTATATTGTAATTAGTCTTTTATAAGTCTGTCTCCCCCTAACCATTGACCTGTTCATCTAGGGCAGACAATGTGCCTTAGTTTATCTTATTATAGGAGTTAAGACACTCCTCAATTCAAATCCTGGTACTTATTAGTTATATGAACTTGAGCAAGTCACTTAACTTTTCCATATCTCAATTTTCTTTGGGTATAAAATATGAACAATAAGAGAGGATTATAGTCCTAATTCATAGGGTTGTTATAAAGGTTCAATTAAGAGTAAATACATAGAATGTAGCATGAATATGCTGCACCTGAGATCTAATAAAACCTCAGTGAGAGGCATCATTGTTTATTACACTTGGCACAAAACAGTTATTCATTAATTATTTGCCGGGCAAACAAATCACAAAAGCATGATACACTAAATTTAAAATAGCTTAAAGTTCAAAAAATAAGACATCCAGCATGCTCAAGAAATTATTTTTATTGATACAACTTGACAATATGTACCATATCTCTAACAAAAAGCTACAGATCCTATAAAGGCTAGTAATTTTACTTCTAGAACTTCATATACTTAGGGAATAATCACAAGTATATGCAAAGCAAGAAAAACAACTTAAAGGAAACAAGAGGGAACTGGTAAATAATTAGAGTAATTTACACAGTAAATTGAACACTATGTACATATTAAAAATGATAGCACAGAGATAATATTTGTTGACCTGGAAAGACATTCTTACCTAATGTCAAATATTCTAAAAGCAGGTTATAAAAGGTATGAATTTTATTTAAAATACATAAGTCACTTACTTGTCTATAATAACAAAATGTTGTATCTCAACATGATATTTAAATGCAAACATAAATGGACAGATCTATGCCAAAGTATTATCAGTAGTTACTTCCAGGTAGTAGAATTTCAAGTGACTTTAATTTTTTCTGTTTATCTATACTTTCTAATCTTTCTAAAATTAACCTGAATTACTTGTGAGTTAACTATCAAGGAAGGAAATTCTGGAGACTAAACCACTGAAGTCACTGTACTCCAGTTAGGATTTACATATAAAATTCCCCTTGTAGACTTAACTCAGCTATTTCTACATACCTTTGTCTGATGCTGCTCTTTTAGTGTATTCAAGTATGAGGTGCTCTGGTTCCCATGGTAATATTTTTCCTTTCTTCTTTCCACGTCTTCTTTTAAAGTGATGGGCCAAAAAAATTACAGATACAGCACTCACTGCAGTTACTACAAATAACTTTTTAGCTACTGGTGAAAATTTGATCTGGAAAAGATACAATTAAATGGAAAAAGAGTCTTTTATTTGTTCATTTAAGATAGACATATAAACTAAAATTATTCTTAAGCTAATCTAGTTCTAAATACTACAAAGATAATATTATTTCACTCTTTCAGTGACAGCTAGCCCAATCTGAATTTTAAGAACAAACCCCACAAAATGCAGTCATCTATTATCCACTGCTCTGAAGTTGTCAGGTAAACAGTAATACCCAAAAAGTTATCAGGAGCACAAAATAACCCCATTCATATCTGTTGAACACTAATGATTAATTCATGCAACTAAATCTTCTGTCTGGACCACAGCAAGATTTTTAATTGCAGGAATGATTAAACCAGACTGTCTAAATGAACCAAACTTTTTAAACTACTGGAAATTTGGGCAAAAATTAACTCAATTTCTAAATACTACTTGAATAAGCCCTTTTATTCTTGAGTTAATTAACAAATATTTATTCAGCATTCTACAATTTACCAGGACTGTGCTATGAAAATTTAAATTAACATCTTATTGTAATTCTATTCAATAAGCACATATCAAATGCCTTCCATTGATCAAGATGCACCAGGTATATAGAGGATGTAGATCTTGCTTCCCCCAGTGTGCTAGAAGTAGAAAGAGATACATTCACAAGTAATTACAGTATAGTGTGACAAATACAGTCATGTAAGTATGTACTAAGTATTAACATAAGAACAAGAGGTAATTAACTTTGCCCTGGGGAACAGACACTATTTATCACCTAAAATGCAAAAGAACTTTAAAATAAAGGTATAGGCTTGGGGATATAGAGAGCTAGAAAGTTTCGCTTCCAACCTCACAACAACAAAAAAGCCAAATGGCAAACTCACAAATTTTTCTTGAACCCATCAGAATGTGGAGGTCAGAAGGTAGCCAACTGGCCTCAAAACTAAGGAGACACAGATATTGGCAGGGAGAGATAAGACATGAACACTGACATACAGGGACAAGACACAGGATCTTAGTAGGAAGAGTTCAGCCAGCCTGGTGGTGAGTTGATGGAGACTGAGAGTGTACTAGTGAGAGATAGTGAAGCACCCCTGCCAGGGGGACAGGTGTGCTACAAATGTAAGTGTAATCCACACTTTTTGCATATTTTATCTTCATAAATCTCACTAAACACTCACAGGAAAGACTGTAAGAGTCCTAAGGAAGTCTCCCTAAAGATGCAGAATTGGGGATAGGAAACAGCAGTTTTTGTGGAGGGACATGAACTGCATCAATACCCTTCTCCTTTGTCCCCAAAAAGGAACAAAAGCCTTAAACTGTAGGAGGCAGCTTTAACCTTAGAGAGAAATTTATACCATTAAATGCTTATAGTAAGAAAAAAAGAAAGGTATCAAATCCATAGTCTGAGCTTCGACCTTAAGAACTAGAAAAAGAACAAATCTAATCTAAAGCAAGCAGAAAATCAGGAAGTAATGAAGACTAAACAGAAATCAATGAAATGGAAAACCAATGGAATAAAACCAAGAGCTGTTTTTTTTTTAAATAAGTAAAACTGACAAACCTCTATTCAGTCTGATCAAAGAGAGAGACAGAAGACACATATTACCAAAATCATTAGTGGAAGAGGGGTCATCACTACAGACCTCACAGATAAGAAAAGGATAAAAAATGATTACTATGAACAACTCTATGCCCATAAATTCAACAAATCAGATAAAATGGACCGATTCCTTGAAAGACAGAAACTATCAAATTTACTCAGGAAGAAAATAGATAACATGAATATTTACATATTTACTAAAGAAACTAAGTATGTAGTTAAAACCTTCTAACAAAATTACAGACCAAATTCTACCAAATCTTTAAGGAAGAAATATCAATTCCTACAAAGAGGGAACATTTCCCAATCATTTTATGAAGCCAGCATTATTACTACCATCAAAAAAGAAAGAAATTACCAAAAAAAAAAAAAAAACCTACAGACTAATATTCATAGATGCAGAAATCCTTCACAAAATATTAACAAACCAAATTCAGCAATATATAAAAAGAATAATATCTATGACCAAGTGGTATATATCCTAGGAATTCAAATCTGGTTCAACATTCAAAACTTCATCAATGTAATTTACCATAACAACAAACTAAGGAAGAAAAGTCATAATATAATCTCAATGGATTAAAAAAGACACGCAAAAAACATCTGGAAATTTGGGCAAAATTCAACACTCACGATTTTTAAAAAACCTCTCAGCAAATTAGAAATAGTGTAATGGGTTAAACAGTGTCCTTGCTAAAATTTATGCCCACTCTAAACATCAGAAAGTGTCCTTATTTGAAAACAAGGTCTTTATCAATGTAATTAAGGTAAGAATCAAGATGAGATCATACTAGATTAAGCTGGGCCCTAAATCCAATGATAGTGTCTTTGTAAGAGACAAAGAAGGACACACAGAGACATAAAGGAGAAGGTCATGTAAATAGGAAGGCGGAGATTAAAATTACGACACAGCCAGGGAATGCCTGGAGCTACCAGACGCTGGAAGAGACAGGAAAGATTCTCCCCTAGAAACTCCAAAGTGTGGCTCTGCTGCACCTTAATTTCAGCCTGCACAATTATAACAGAATGAATTTCTGTTATTTCAATCCACCAAATTTGTAGTCATTTAAGACAATTCTAGGAAATTCATACAGAGGGGAAATTCTTTAATCTGATAAAGCACATCTACAAAAAAAACCTATAGTGAACATCATACTTAAGGGTGGAAGACTAAATGTTGTCCTCATAAGATCAGGAACAAGACAAGAATATCTTTTTACTATTATATTAGAAGTACTAGACAGTGCAAAAAGGCAAGAAAAAAAGAATAAAAGAAACATATATTAGGAAGAAGTAAAACTGCCTCTATTTGCAGATGATATGATTGTCTACATAAGAAGTCCCGAAGAATCTACCAAAAAAGCTCCTAGAACTTTAGGTAAATAGACTACAAAGGAAAAGATAGCAATAAGCAACTGGATTCAGAAATTTAAAAAGCAGTATTGTTTATAATAGCACCAAGAAAAAGAAAAAAATCACTTAGAAATAAATTTAACAAAATCTAACAACAAAACACTGTTGAAAGGAATCAACAAAGATAAAAGGAGAGATATATTCACAGATCGTAAAATGTCCTTTCTCTCCAATTTGATCTACAGAAACAACATAATCCTAATCAAAATCTTGGCAAATTGTTTTGTAGATATTGATAACTTATTCTAAAAAAAAAATTTTTGCCATTATCAGAATAGCCAAAAATAACTTAAAAAGAATAAAGTTGGAGAATTCACATTAGCCAATTTCAAGACTTCACTATAAAGTTACAATAATTAAGACAGTGTAGTATTGGTGAAAGAACAGACAAGATCAATGCAACAGAACAGAATTCAGAAATAAAGCTGGACAAATACAGACAACCTATTTTTCTCAAAGGCAAAAAGGCAATCCAAGGAAGAAATTTCTAGAAGAAAACACAGAAGAAAATCTACATAACCTTATAATCACCAAAACCCAGAAACAATCTGGATGTCCTTCAATAGACAAGTAGGTAAACAAACTGCAGTACATCCATACAATGGAATATTACTCAGCAATAAAAAGGGACAAATTATTCAGATACACAGCAATATGAATGAATCTCAAATGCATTATGCAAAGAAGTCAATTTCAAAAGGCTACATATATAATGTATAATTCCATTTACATGACATTCTGGTAAAGGTGAAATTATAGGACAGAAAACAGATCAATGGTGGCCAGCAGCTGAAATGAGCAGGTGACTACAAGGAGGCAGCACAAGGAAATTTTGGGGGTGACAGATGCATTCTGTTTGGTACAGTGGTGATAGATACAGGAGTCTGTACACTTGTCAAAACCACAGAACTATGCACAACAAAGTACAAAATGTATTATACATAAAATATTTTAAATCAGCCAGGATGTGGGGGAACCCAAAATGAACTGCAGAATGTGATCAATCAAACTGTTACAAATAAAGATACAAGCATACTGAAGAGGATAGGGAAGAAACGAGATGACCTAAGGTACAGTGAGATGACCTGAGCAACAGTGTGGTGACCAGATACTGCAAGGCTAAAGACAAAAAGAATTATACACAAACACTGTACTTGGTAAATTTGTTTCTCAAAGGGGCTTGGGGGTTAGCAATTCTGAAATTATAGCTGACCCTTGAAGAACTCAGGGGTTGATATGAATATAATTTATAGTCAACCCTCCAAATCCACAGTTCCTCCAAATCCAGGTGTTCAACCAACCACAGACTGTGTAGTAAACACTGTAGTATTTACTACTGTAGAATATCCATGTATAAGTGGACCCATGTTGTTCAAGGGTCAATTGTGCTTTTTATGTATATACTAGATACTGTAGTAAGGAAATACACCATAAATAATACTATATTTTAGATAATGAGAGCCAGGTGTGTCTCACTGCTGGAGAAAGAAGTTGCAAATGAGCAAAATAGGAATGACAGAATGAGACCTGACTGAAGTCAGAAGTACCAATATGAACTCATGATTTGCCTTTTCTTTTCAATATACACAGACAGACAAATTCAAAACTAGAGTTGTGTGTGAACACACTGATAAGTATGCATTCACATATTTCCTAGCTGTGTCTCCTAGGAGGGCCCAGAAACAGCAACATCCTGGTAGCAATGTGCACACCTCACATCCAGATCTTAGTTCCTAAATGCCAAACACTAAAGAGAACTAAATATGGAGACTAAAGAGAGCCAAGGAAGCCTGGACAAGTGGGTGCTTCCAGAACTGAGACAGAGAAAATACAAAATGAATCAGGAGAGAGGAAAAAAAAGAAAAAGAGGCCATGTCAGGCATGTCCGAAGGACACAGGAGCCAACCAAAAAGAGCTTCCAAACTTATATAAATAATTGAATAAATAATTAAAAGGGGAAAAAGGGACAATTCTTCCTTACAGAATAATTCTAAATAAGTGTAGAAGGAATGAG